ATCGATTAATCCACATTTTGATCAAAAGTGAATATATAGGGGCACTTTCAACTTTTACAAAATATTAAACGGATGTGATGATAATCCTGTTTTAATCGAGGACGAATACTTGTTCAATATAATGATCTCTTATAGGTAAAAGTAAATCAAAACTGATTTGTGATATATTTTGAACTTAAGTGATTTGATTTATCTACGCTATTTTTGGCTTATATGATCGTCAATAAATTATTTCCGTGTTGACACTTTTGTGCCCTCGCATTTTGAGTACCCTTCTGCTCCACTGTGATATTTTTTCTTTTATGTTCGAAAATTCGCATGGCTTTTATACTTTACAAACTTTTAGCTTGACAAACGAGAGACATCGATCACGTATACACTAGACGATAGGTTTTGACCTAACTTAAGGATGGGGAATAATGGAACGAAAATCGCCTTCGAAGTTTGTGTCGTCACTGCTGATTATAATGGTGATAGCTATGGGCCCGGCGTCAATATGGTGATGTTTGATGATCAAACAAGACAATCTCCCACCATAACATTGGATAACCTATTTCAGAATGAAGTAGATTTCACGCTTGCCAAATTTACTATAGATCTTCAGCCTTGGAGCAAGCTCAAGGTATTAAGTTATATATTTAATAACATAAAGGCTTTTGGAAAGCTCCATCATATTGAATTTTGGAGAACAAGTGATAATGGTCTTCCTTCAAAATGGTTTCTGGATAAAGTTATAATCCGGGACAGAAGGTATGGCCTAACCGGCGAATGGGATTATGCCTTCTTCCCAGTTCACCAATGGATTGCGATAGATAGCCAATACGTTGTCCATGATTGCGAGTCCTGGCTCCCTAGAAGGGATCCTTTTCCGAGTCTTCGTGATTCCGAAATCGCAAGAAGGATGGAATTGTTCTCATTTTTCCAACGAGCCAAAGGTCTTCCAGTTGAGGTATAAGTCATTTTTTAGCGTATGATAGATCTCTGATGTCCCTTTTACGGAAGTATTTGCACACGATTCGGTGGTAAGTTCTCACAACTTTTACGATAACTTCTTCAGTGGAATATCGAAGAAATAGTTTTGGAGCTAATTGAACAGTCTGGTTTAGCTTTGGAGTATACAAATGAGGCTCAGTGGGATTCTCTGGAAACACTTGGAAACATTTATAAAAAGTACAACATAACGGAGCCCGTCGTAAGTTTAGCTTTGTGTACCTTTCTTCTATCATTATTGGGACTTAAATCATATAGGCATGTTTGGACATATTCTTTTTGTCATTAATGCATCCTTAGTTCAGTTAATATTCGATGTTGAGATAATGTACACGAGACTCTTGTCCTCGGTTAATCTAATTTAGATTGCAAATACGAAGGCCAATATGGTGTGTCCTGTTTGGTCGCAGTCTTCTTTACCTGTATACTGTTGGTTTGATCTCGTTTTCGTAATTTGATCGGAGCGACATGAGGACCTCATGGAACTTATCTAGCTCTATGTATTCTGCTACACTATTAGTGATTTACAGCATCTGACCATTGGCTTGGCACATTCCCATGTGTGAATGATGTACCAAGTCAATGGTCAGATGCTGGAAGTCACTAATATTATGGGAGAGTACACGAGGATAGATAAGTTCCACGAAGTCTCTTTGACTCTCCGACCAAGTTGCGAAAACGGGGTCACATCAACACTAATTTAACTTTACTTCTTGAAACTGTTAAGAACATGCAAAAGCCACTGCACCTTCATCGTAGCTTGCCGAATATCTATACCTATTGATAAAAGTCGATATGGCCTCTAAACTTCTGGTACATTGTAGAAATTTTTATGGGGCTGGCATATTTTAGCCTTACTTA